GGGCGGGGTGGGGGGGACTGTAGCCAAGGAGGCACAGCTCTCCACAGTGATGACTTGGGGGGACAGGGCCTCACAGCTGTGGAGTCGGTTGTGCCCCGCTTTTCAGCATGGGTGACAGAGGAGCCCAAGGGCCCTCCAGTGAGACCTATCTATATCTTTACTCCTCAGCCTCCCCGGTGATTGAAAATGGCCAGCTGGAATGTCCTCAGGGGTATAAGAGACTGAATCTCACTCACTGCCAAGGTAAGGGTGACCCCGGGCCAGGGCTAGGCTTGGGGCGGGGGGATGATGAAGGTCTGAGGATGCCAGGGCATTCCCCCGCCATCCCCAGACAGAAGGAGTGGTGTCACTGAGTGGTCTTCACTGGGCACCTCTAAGCCCCAGCTTTGGGGAGTTGTGGGGGCTGCTGGTTCCAGGGGCCTAAGGAAGTTGGGGGGATAATGAGAGAGCAAGCCTAGGAAAGGCCTGGGAGCTGAGCCTGTCCCTCTTCCCATCTCCACCAGAGAGGCCAGGTGCCTCTCTAGAGCTGTGGGGTCCGTGTGTGCAGGTACTGCCCCAGTCCCCACACATCCCCTCACCTCCTCAGCCAATCTCCTTGGAATGGGAGGACTTTTGACTTCAGGATCTAGTCAGCCTGACTTGATGGGGACCTCTGTAGACCTCCCCCAACAAATCACCTTCCGCTGCTCAGACCTCCCTCCAACAACCAGGAGAGGGGAGAGGGAAGGCACAGGTGGAGGAAAGAGGGGCCCATAAAGCACAGACCCTGGCCTTGCTGGCCTGGCTGACGGGCTCTCTGAGGCCAACTGAGGTCTGGGGCCCTCTGCATTACAGAGCAGCAAGGCCCAGAGGCACCTTGGGACACAGGGATGGGAGGCAGGCTCAGCTACGGCTTCATCACTACGGGGAATCCCAGTGGGGATGGTGCGTAGGACCAGGATGACTGAGGGGTCCAGAAGCCTTCACTGAGGGGCAGCTGCTGCCCCTCAGGCTTTGAGCAGGGAGCCCCTGTTGGCTGTGGGCCTGGCAGTAGGAGATGTGAGCAGGGCCTTCCAGCTGGGAGGCTCCTGGGGCTGGCAGAGGTCAGCGGGGAGCTGAGGCAGCTTCTCCTTTGGAGAACTGGATACACTGCTGTCTGGATGGCTTACTTTAAATGAAACTGGGTTAGAGACAGGGGATTGACCCAGATGGCCTCCTAAGTGCCCTCCCCCTGGAGGCTTCTTCAGGAGAGAGGGAGCTGAGGAAGTCCTGGGGTGGCTAGGCTGTCTGCCTGGGGGGTGCCAGGCCCAAAGGGGATTTCTGGCCCATGGATAAAGTGCTTGGACCAGGCAAAAGGGCAGGCCTCTGACCCAGCTCAAGGTCAGACTCCCCTGGGGGCAATGAGGACTAGTAGACCGGATGGTGGGTGTGGAGAGAAGTCTTTAGCTTTGCCCTTGGAGGGTACAGTCTAAACTGTCCCGAGGGCCCCTCCCCTCCTGGCAGGTTTCCCAGTGCACAGAGTTAAAGTTATTCCCAGGATCTCAAAGGAGCTCTCGGCCCTCCCTGCATTGACCCCCAAGGATACAGGAAGCCAAGGGACCCTCCCCAAGGAGGACCTGCCCTTTAAACCTCCCCCCTTTCCCATGTCTGTGGCCTTGGTCTCCATATCTGGGAGGGGACCTGCTCACCTCGACACCCGTGTGCCTCACCGTCCTCTCTCTCTCTCTCCATCCTTCTGTCCCGCCACGGGGCAATTTTGAGGTGTTGTTAGGAGCCACATGCTTTGTGCTAGGTGTTAGCCCACAGGGACAGATAACACAGCAGCTGCCCCCGGTGAATACAGATGCTTAAACAATTATACGCCATGGGAGAAGTGCTCTTGCTAGAAAGAAGCTCTGGGTGCCATGGGATCGCATGGTAGGGGCCCCTTCCCAGACTGGGAGGGTAGGAGAAGGCCTTCGGGTGATGGGTGACCAGCTAAACTGGATGCAGGCATTCCAGGCTGAGGGAACAGCACAAACAAAGGAACAGCTGGAGGACAGCCCGCGTATTCACAGGAGACAGCACAGACCTCCAGGGCCCCATCAGAGCTACCTGCTCACCCCCAGGCTTTGGGGAAATGTGGTGGAGAGTACTGGATACATGTGAGGGTTTAGGAGCTCTCTCTAGGAGGTGAATGGGGACCACAGAGGCATGTCAGATTTAGGTATATCACTCTGGCCACAGTCCAGAGGCAAATGGGTCTGTTCTCCTTCCTAGATCTCAATGGCATTTCCCCAGGCACCTCCCTGCCAATAGGGTGTCCTGCCAAAGAATAGTTGGGCCATCTTTTAGCCCCTTCATTCTTGTGCTTAGTGCCACTTTCTCTGAAGCTTATGGGTGAGCAGGTGACTCTGGTGACAGGGCTGCCATGTCTAATCTCCTGGTCCTGGAGGTGGGGGTGGCCCTTACAAATCTTCCACACTCACCATCATCAAGAAAGGCGCCATCACCAAGACTTCTTGGAGCTTAGACTGTGAGGGTTGGGATTTCCCCTTGGCAGGAAGACGTTTCCAGCATGAAATATTTTTGAGATCACAAAGGAAGTTAATGTCATTCCCTTGTTTGAAGAACAGCATGAGCATCCACTGGTCTTGGAGGATGTGTGTGGCCAGCCCAAGGCCTTCCAGCCTCCTGGAAACATGTCCTCCAAAGCCTCTGCCCCTCAGCGCTTGTCTCCATCCTCCTGCCTCCCGTCCTTGCTGGGTTCCCTCCAGCCTGCAGCTCACTGTGGACATGTTTCCTGGATCTGGGGTCCTGTGGAGATGCTTCAGAGTCCCTCAAGGAAGGCTGAATAGGAGGGACTGGGCAGATGACTCTGTCCACTCCAACCCAAACTGTCCCCCTGTCTGCTCCCCTCGTTTGCATCCCAGCACGCCACTCACTAGCTGAGTGACTTTGGGCAAGTTACTCCTGGACCCTGTTTCCTCACCTATAAAATGAAGCCATGTGGACCTACATGGTAAAATTGTTGGCAAGAATCCGATGAGGTCGCATATGTCAGCCACCTGGCATGGTACCTGGCCCCTGATAGGGACTCAAGCAAGAAACATTAACTCTTAATATTATGATCATTATTACCAGTTAGTGGAATTAAGTGATTTGCAATTTTTATCTTATTTTATTCTCATACCAAGACTATCTGGTAGTTATGAGAAACGAGGAAACTGAGGCACAGAGAGAGAGGGACCACACTTAATAGATGGCAGCTCTCTTATTGTTATCCCTTTTTTTTGGAGAAGGTATTGGAAGATCTCTGCCCGGCCCCTCCCCTCCCTCAGGCCGTGGTGGGGCGGGCGCTCCCTCACCTCCTCCAACCCCTGCCCCCCCCCCGCAGATATCAACGAGTGCCTGACCCTGGATCTGTGCAAGGACTCGGAGTGCGTGAACACCAGGGGCAGCTACCTGTGCACCTGCGGGCCTGGCCTCATGCTGGACCCATCCAGGAGCCGCTGTGTGTGTAAGTGGCAGCGGGGACCAGGGATGGGGGACACTGGGAGGCAAGATAGGATCCTCGGGGTCCACTGGCCAGGCCCCCATCCCCAGGCCCAGGGTCTGTGTCTCAGCCTGGAGCTGGGCCCAGTGTACAAAAACTGATCTGCCCCTCCCTGCTGGAGCGGAGACAGCTGTGACTTCAGTTTGGGTTTTTGCCATGTGTTTGGGGGCTTTGCGGTTTGGGATTTTCTCCTTCTGTTTTTCCTCTCATCTGTTCTGTCCCATCTGTTGCCTCATTTACTTCAGGGAGATGTGTGTTGTCTTTGCTCCGATGTCTGGCTGAGCTGTGGCTGCCTCTTCGAGCCCTGACTTGGGCAGCCTGGTCACTGAACTGCAGATAGGCCTTCCTTAAAGGGCACTGCCTGGCGCCCAGGCCGTCCCGTAAACCTGGGGTCCCTCACGGCTGGGAATGTGTCTGCATCCACGAGTACATACGTGTCCCTGGCCATGTCAGCACCATGTCTGGGTGTGTGCACACTGTGCGTCTGTGTGTGTGCGTGCGTGTCCCCCCCAGGGCAGCTGTTTCCGGCAGCCTCTGTGGTTTCCCGCTGCAAGAGGCCCAGGCCAGCAGCACCCCCCAGAGAGCAGAGCTGACGCCACGGCCTGGACAGGGCTTTCCTTGGGCAGGGGGGCCTGAGCAGAACTGAATAAAACCAGTCCTGACTGGCATCTGTAAAGCGGCAGCCCAGGTCAGGTTGCCCCCACCCCCCAGCTCAGTAGAGCTCCCCGCGGCTGGCCAGGCCCTCAGTCCACAAACCACCAGGTACTGGGTCTGGGGAGGCCACGGGATGAGCCAGACCGCAGTGCCACCCAGGGGGAGCATCCCATGGGAAGGGAAGGGTGAGGAGGGACCCAGTCCATGTCTCCAGGGAGAGGAGACAGGCAGAGGCCAGAGTGGGGAGAACGTGTCAGAGGGCTCTCAGGGAGACTTCATGGTGACAGGGACATGTGGTCAAGGCCTCCAGGGGCATACAGCCCTTCCTTCTCCTCATCCCACCCCCCACTTAAGATTGCTTTCTTAGGCAGACATTTTCAACTCCTGAAGTGACTTTTACTTATTAGTGCCAGAAAAAGACCCTTACTTAATACAGGGAGGCAGAGACGGCCCTTGGGTGTTCTTTATCTTTTTCTCCCTCCCTACTGTTACCCGCTCCAGCTCCCTCTGATGGTTTACCTCCCTGTAGGGGAAAGGGGCAGACACGAAGTTTTTCTTCCCTTCATTTCTGAGCTTTGCCCTCTTCCCCGCCACCTGACCAGAGCTGGTCTACAAGGGCCCCTCTGTGCTGGGGCAGCCTCCTGATACTCTCAGCCAGGTCACCTCCACCCTGGGGCTCAAAAGGACTGAGCCATTTCCTACAGTATCCCAAGGGAAGTGGCTGCTGGAAGCAGAGATACCTGGAGACCCAGGCTCATGGACTGACCAATAATTGATCTCTGTATATAGGACATGACCTTTGACAAGACACTCTTACCTACATCACTGTGAAGAAAGTGTATTAGTTCGGGGGAACCTGGCTGGCTCAGTTGGTGGAGTGTGTGACTCTTGATCTCGGGGTCATGAGTTTGAGCCCCACCTTGGGTGTAGAGATTACTTATTTTTTTAAAGTATATTAGTCAGGATCCTTTGGGTTGCAAATGACAGAAACCCAACTCAAACCACTGTAAGCAAAAATAATTTATTGGTCCACACAACTAGGAAGTCGAGGGGTGGGTGTGCCTCAGGCTTGGTTGGATCCAGGCACACACTGTGTCTTTGGGATGCCTCTTGCTCTGTTTCCTTTGTGTTGATTTCATAATTCCTTCAAAGGTGTCCACCAGACAATCCAGGCCTACATCTCCCAGCCTTGCAAACTCCAATTTAAAAATAGAAAAATAAAAAGTATCTCTTCTGTAATAATCCAGGAAAAGTCCCACAGTTGATTAGTATCACTGGGCCAACTTGGTCAAGTGCCTATCCCTGACCCACTCACTATGACCAGGGGTATGGACTCTTTCAGCTAGGAGATAGGGTCAGCCTCCACTCCACATGGACAGAAAGGGAGACGGGGTGGATCCCCTAGGGAAACCAGGATGTTGTCACCAGAATACAGGGGCATAGATGCCAAGCAGGGAGAAACACAGGTGTCTTCTCCCCATGGCATTATCATCATCCTGATTTTACACATGAAGACGGTAAAGCCCAGGGAGGTCATGTAGCTCCTGGTGGTGCAGGGATTTGAACTTGGCCTGCTGAGTCCTGGGCCTTGACCTGGACTTCCCCAGGGCCACCAGCCCCTTAGCTGTGCGTGTTGTTCTCTCCATGCATCTCTCGTCCCCTCGTCCAGCCTGACAAGGGATTCAGTCGTTCCCATTTGGCATGACCTCTTCGTCCTTCATTGAGATAACATACAAGAGGATGGTCTTCGATGTTCACTGTCAAAGGCCAAAAAAGGGGACAGTGCTGGTGGTATTGTGACCATCTAAACCCAGCGTAGCTCACACTCACAGCAGTCCATAGCATTTTGATTTGCAGATCTAGCCATCCACGCCCATGGGTCCAGCGAGCATTTACTGAGCATCCCCACGCACCAGGCACTGAACAAGGGTGCTGGGCTACAAAGATGGCCAAGACAGGGTCCCTGTCCTCAAAGCTCCCCATTAGGCCTTTGGCTCTCACCTTGTCTTGTCTCCCCAGGGAGACTGTGGCCCTAGAGCACATTGCTCCCCACCCATCCCCAGGCCGATGGCTTTTGTAAATACCTGTAAACTCAGCACCTGGGGACAAGCACATACATCCCCATTTCCTGCCCTCTGGCTCTCCACAGGAGGGTGGGGGTCAAGGGGTCCCTCCAATGGGTAACACAAGAAGATGCCAAAGCCTTCCACGACGGCCATCCCTCCCAACATTCCTCTGAGCATTTCCAGGGCGCGAACCTGCAGATTGAGCCTCGGGCCAGGCCAGCTGGGTGGCCGCCCACTGCCCCCCTCCTGCCCGCACGTCCCCGCGGCTGGTCACCTGCCCACCACACCAATTGTGTCTGTTGCAGCCGACAAGGCCGTCTCCATGCGGCAGGGGCCGTGCTACCGGTCTCTGGGGCCTGGCACCTGCGCCCTGCCTTTGGCCCAGAGCATCACCAAGCAAATCTGCTGCTGCAGCCGAGTGGGCAAAGCTTGGGGCAGCAAGTGTGAGAGATGCCCCCTGCCTGGCACAGGTAAGCATCTGTCCCAGTCTCACCTCCAGCCACCAAGGGGCTTCCTCCAAGCCAGTGACCATTTTCCCCCACCTGGACCTCACCTCAAGCTAGAAGACCCTTAGTCCTTCCTTCCTTCCTGCTCAACTCCTTGCCCCAACCTGGGGCCCTCCTTCCCTCGCTGCCACAAGTGCTTGTCCCCCGAAGGGAGGGAAGGGAGGGCCCGGTTTCCCTCGGGAACTGTGCCTCTCAGCTTGTCCTCTGTCCGGTGACCTTGCAGAGGCCTTCAGGGAGATCTGCCCTGCTGGCCACGGCTACACCTACTCAAGCTCACATATCCGCCTGGCCATGAGGAAGGCCGAGGAGGAGGAACTGGCCAGGCCCTCCAGGGAGCAAGCGCAGAAGAGCTACGGGACCCCGCCGGGGCCAGCGGAGAGGCAGCCGCTCCGGGCCGTCACTGACACCTGGCTAGAGCCCGAGACCGTCCCTGACAAGGGTATCTGGGCTGCGGGAGGTGCTAAGGGGTTCCCCTGCGCCCCCCCAAAGAGCCCCTGGGTACTTATCCTGGACCCATGGCTTCCCAACTCTGGAGCAGGAGGAGAGGGAGTTTAGAACAGCGGTGTCCAGCCCCAGGAACCCACCACCCGGCGTGCTGGGAAGGCCTCACCTCCTTCCCCTAACATATGGGGTCAAAGGTGCCCACACCCCAAGGGGTGCTGCTGGAGGTGGGAGAGGTCAGCGGCAGCCCCCACCCCAGCTGATCAGGCCTTTGTGCCCCCAGCCCCCAGCCGTGCAGCTTCTGGGCTGGTGCTGGTTGCAGGGACTGAGAGCTGGCAGGGAGACCCTGGGGAGTCCGGCTGCTATAGTTCCCCTCCCTGGCCTTAGAGTCTGAGCACTAACTGCGGCTCCATCACCTTGGGCCCAGGAGGCACAGGCTGCAGAGAGAAGGTTCAGGCACCCCTGGAGGGGGCCCCGGGAACCACACTGAAAGCGCACCCAGGTTCCCGGTAGCCACAGTGCAGGAGGCCAAGGACATATTAAGACCAGGAGAGCTATATGATGGCCAAAATTGCCCCAGGAATCTGGAACAGACAGACAGGGAAGTCAGGACAGAGCCCCAGTAGTCATGGGAACTGGACCCTGGCCAGGCCAGGAGCAGCTCCTCTCTTTCTAGAACTGTTCCCCGGGGCTGTAGCCCAGGGCAGGGGCGGAGTGACCCAACGTGGCTGGGAAGCTTGAGAAGGAGGGGGTGGCAGAGCAAAGAAGAGGGTTACATCCAGGACTGACGGGTGGACTGGCCCCGGGAAAGGGTGGGACTCGTCCCTGAGGCTTTAGAGGAAGGCAAGAGATTTCCTCTCACCAAGGAAGCCACCTTGTAGGCCCTCCAGACCTGGCATTCTGGGGGACCTGTGGTGGCCAGTCCTGGCAGGGCGGGAGGGGCAGAAGCAGGTAATAAGATTCTGCACTCTCTCCACGGCTGACCTCTGGGGACAGGTCAGAAGGTCAGAGACTGAACCAACCCTGGCCATGGGTGGAGGGGAGAGGGCAGTCTGGCTCTCCTCCCCGAGCTCATGCTCTTGTCTTTCCTTCCCAGGAGACTCTCAGGCTGGCCAGGTGAGTGCATCCTCCCAGCAGGGCTGGGCAAGCATGGCAGAGAGGGGGACAGGGTCGCCACTGACGCTGCAGGGGGCTGTCCCCTGAAGGAGGAAAGGGAGACAGATGGATTATGTGTAGAGTGTTACCTGGAGCGATGCTGGAGTGGGAGGGTCCATCCAAAGACCTGGTTTTACCCTAAGGGAAGTGAGAACAGCTCTTGAACAAGTGTTCTCTCATTTGGGGTGCTCTGGGGCCCCCTTCAGAAAGGAAGTAGGAACATGTCTTGTTAGTCCCGGCTCTGCAGGTAAGGTCTAGAACTGGTTCCAGATTAATTCTGGATTCGGCACTTTCTGAGCCTGACTTGCTTATACCTCAAGATCTCTGTGGGTGGCTTGTGGGGAAGTGGAAACAGAGCAGTGGATGGCCTCAAACCACTTCACACCCTTCCCTGGGCCCAGGATTCCCCTGTAAAGAACCGAGTGTCCTCCTAGAAAAACATTCCAGAAGAGTGAACCTGCTTCCTCCCTCACCTGTCTGCCCCTCCCACCCGCAGACCTGACTGGCCCCAAACACCATTTCTCCAGGGAGCTACTTCTCTCCCTGGAGAATCATGTGTTGTCCTCCCAGACCAGAGTTCTCCGTCCGTGTCCTCACAGCCCCCGGTGTGCCCCTGACCCTCCGTCATCCTCTGCCCCTTCTCTCCTCCTGGGTCACCGCCCCTGGCCGGTCGCTGTGGTGAGGGACACCAGGTATGGCCTAGGGTCTCGGCCTCACCACACCGGTCCTGTGACCCTAGGGAGGCTGGTGAACCTTGAGCTTCTGCTGCTTTATCTGGGCTCATGGCACAGAGACGATCATCAAGCTTTGCTGATGTGACACTGAGCGGGCCCAGCACATCCATCAGCTCACTTAGTCATTACGACCGCCTGTCACAGGCTAGTTGAGCAGATTAGTTAAGACAACAGACATAAAGTGCTGGTACAGTGCCCAGCATGTAGGAAACTCATCAAGAGCTGGAAGGAACGAGAAGGTGAATAAGTGAGGTGGCCGGGAAGCCTGGAGGCAGGGGTGAGTGTGGCAGAAGAAAGCATGTCACGGGGGGCACCAAGGAACCAACAGTGACCTTCTCCTATGTCTGCGCAGGTCACAACCAGTGCTACCCAAGTTCCTGCCTGGGTCCCAGGTGAGTCCCTGCTCCTAGCGGCTCCCAGAAAATAGAAGGGAGGGAAGGAGACGCCATAGAATTTGTACCGTGGGCCGATACATGGGGCTCAGATCAGATGAGGTGGTGGATGGTGTGACATGTGAATGCTTTTTTCGGGGCGCTCTATCCACCTAAAGTGCTGTAAGGTCAGTGAAAGACGCTGAGCTGTTTTGCAAATATTTCCCTAGCCACAGCACCCTCTCTGCATTTCATGGTGCCACTCAACGTATAAAGGAGACCAAAGCAGAAGCGCAGGCTGAAGCAGGGGCCGGTCAGGTCCCCAGAGCCCTTCCCCCGTGGCCCATCTTCCTTTGGGAAAAGGCTGGAGCTCTGCAGATCCCAGCTTGCTGAGGGCCACTGGAGTTAGGGACGGCACTGTCCAGGGGCTCTGTTTCCACCAGGCTAGTTGGCTTTGAACAAGTGGCCATTTCCACAAATCAGTCTCATCCCCCGTGAAACAGAAGCTGAGACTGGATGTGCTCGAGGACCCGTTAGAGCTCTCAGGTTCTCTGAGTCTAGTTGGAACCAGGTTAAGTTTCGGGAGCCTAGGGGGCAGAAGGGCTGACCGACCCTGGGCTCCACCCCTGGTCCCACAGTCCAAAGGGCAGGAGGAGGGAAGGGGCCACTGCCAGGATCTCCGCAGGGAACGCCGTCTGGGGGTGGGAAGGCAGGTGGCCAAGGGGCCGTGGCCCAGCTGCTCTCCCCCCCCATCCCCCACCCCCAGGAGATGCCATGGAAAGACCAACGCCACCACCTCCTGGACAGGGGATTCCGGACAGCCAGGAAGAGGAGCACGTGACTACCCCAGCCGAGGGGCTGGCGGCCCTGGGCCCCTCAGGTACCTGCAGTCAGCCTGGTCAGAGCTGCGGCCTCTCCCACAGAGGCACCGTCTCCAGTGAACCCCCACTCAGGCTCAGTGCCCTGGCTTCACCTCAGAGGGTGCCCCTCGGGAACCCAGGAGTCCTGTCAGGAGCACCCGTCAAGCGGGGGAGGAGGCAGAGAAGGGAGGTCTTGGGGGCGCCTCTTGCTCGGAGGCTTTCTAGAAGCATCCAGGGGCCCTCTGGAGGAAGGGCAGCGCAAGGAGCCTCCGGGCGCCTGGCTCCTCCAGGCTACTGACCCTGAGTCGGCTGAGTGCCCTGGCAGTGGGCAGCCTCCTGCCCACAGGGACGGCCAGCTTTCGGGAAGGAAAGCGCTTCTGTTCTCAAGGCTGTTTAACTGTCCGGGAGCCCACGCTCCCCCTCTCTGGCCAGCTACAATGGTGAGGGGGTGCGGTGTGGGGGAGATCCCTGGCAAATCCACCTTGCTCTGGAATGTGCCCTCCTCAAAGGCTCATTGTCTGGGGACCTGGTTCAAGAGAAGCAAAGCTGGGGATGCCGCAGCTGCTCCCTGCGCACGTGTGTCCTCGCGTGTGTGGCCCTCACGTGTGCCCTCTCTGGGGGCTGGCTGACCTCTTCACCTCAGACTCAGCTCACCTCAGGGGAGAGGCGTAGCTCTGGATTTCTTCTGGCAAAGAGAGAGCCCATGCAGCCCGGTGGAACAGTCCAGAGAGTGTGGGGTGGAGGAGGGGGTTGGCCCTCCCAGGCCTGAACCCGGGTATCCTGCTGCCCTTTCCCACGCCCTCTCTCCTCTGTGCTCAGGGAGGGGGCTTGTCCCCCTGGTAAGAGGAGCTGGGTTAAGGGGCTCCGCTGGGGATTCTCTGACAAGAAAAATGGGTCTGGAGGCAGGGACAGGAGTGAGGGGCAGGAGGAAGAGCCCAGGCTCAGCAGCAGCTCTCAGCTATGTGGGGGGACAGAATCCCCCCTCAGTCACCACCCACAGCTTAATCCCTCTTCTCCCCTGCCTTCCCCCAACCTCATCCCTCTGGGAGGATATTTAGAACCAGGCAGGGGGTCCCCATAAATCCCCTGGGCTGACACAAACTTGGAGCCAGGACAGGGACAGGGTAGCCTTGCAAACAGGCCAGGGCACATTCAATTCAGTCCAATTTAGGGAACGCCTTGAGGCCCTGCTGTGGACCAACACAGACTTCGTCCACTCCCTTGGGTCTCTGGGGTTACCTCAGTGCTGTGGGGCAGGGCGGGGGAGCCCTGGGCGTGTGGGCTTATGTCAAAGGCCTCAGGGCAGACACAAGGCTGCAAGCGCTTCTCACTCCCGTATTCAATCAGCACACCCTAAGCACCAGGCACTTGTCTAGTGTTAAGGACACAGTTCAAAAAAGTAGCCTCTATGAGGCCTCAGTGCTGAGTCCAGGCAAGTCAAACTGTTCCTGAATTCAGCATGTCTCCCCACTTTTTACCCCATAACCACCACCCAGGGCAGTCCCTGTTTGAATTATTTCAACAGGTTTCTAAGAGCCCCCTGTGCCTTCCTGCCCAGTCCATCAGCCATCTGCTGACTTTCTGAGCAAGATGGCATGGCAAGATGAGGGGTCTTTCTGAGATAGCTCTGATCATACCCCACCTTGCATGACCCCCTTTCTCATAGACCTGTCTCAACATGGCATTCAAGGCCCTGCTCAGTTGGCCCCAGCCCACCTCTCCTCTCTCCCTCTGGCAGGTGTCCCCCAATATCCTACTTACCAGCTCTATCTGTCTAGGGGAAAGGGAGGGCAGCTCTGGGGACTGTGGGTGAGAGCCATGCCCTTATTCAGGGAGAGGGCAGCCCGGAGGCCTCAGCAGGAGAGGCCCTTTGCTGGGACACGAGTTAGTGGAGCCCACTGAGTCTTGGTTAACTCCATCCTGGGACTCGGGGTCCTTGGAGGGGTGCCATGGGGTTTTATACAAGACCATGCTACACATGGATATGGGAGGGTCCAGCCAAGAATGGAGTGAGGCTTCTGTGGGTCCTCTGAGGCCCCTGTGCCCTGCCCTGCACACTCTCCCCATCCCACTCCACTGCCGCGCTCCACTGCCTTCGTCTGTCCTCACCCCACCGTAACCTCTGCTTTGCTCTGTCTCCCACAGACATTGACAGATGTGCCGCCGGAAGCACCAACATCTGTGGGCCTGGAACGTGCGTGAACCTCCCAGATGGGTACAAATGCATCTGCAGCCCCGGCTACCAGCTGCACCCCAGCCAGGCCTACTGCACGGGTATGCACAGGGCATCCTGGGCTCACTCAGCAGCTGGAGACAGAGTCAAGTGTCCAGGCAGCTGAAGGTCCAAGTGGGGCTCTGTGGTTGATGAGTTGAAGAAGACTACTAGCCCCGTGGACAAAGCCAACCTTAACCTTGGGGGACAAGTCTCTGGGAGCACCATCCGATGAGTCTCCAGGACTCCGGGAGAGTGGGAAGCCACCCTAGGGCCCCCTGACTAGTGCCTGGAGCCCTCAGCTCTGAGATCAGCCCACCCCTCCAACTAGCCATCTTGCTGCCGACAGAGCAGACCAAGGCCTACCCTAGTTGGAAATGTCTCCACTGATTTCCACCCCCCGCCAAGAGCTTGACACAAGAGAGAAACATCCACTGTGCCTTGAAGGAAAGGAAGTGATCAGGGGGCCACTGGGGGAGGGGGACATGGGTCAGGGAGGAAGTGCTGGGCCGCTGCCCCAGGCCCTTGGTGCCTGAGTGGGCCCTATGGGCAGATGTCGTGACCCCAGCCTTAGAGATTTTTCATTTCCCTGGCCTCTTCCTCCCACATCCCCTCCTTGACCCATAGCACCATTCCCTGTCCAGCTCCTAGCATGGGCAGGTTGCTGACAGGTGCCCAAAGAAAGTCCACCTGACCTCCCTCCCCACCTTCCTCTACTTAGACGACAACGAGTGTCTGAGGGACCCCTGCGCGGGAAGAGGGCGCTGCGTCAACCAAGTGGGTTCCTACTCCTGCTTCTGCTACCCTGGCTACATGCTGGCCACCTCGGGGACCACACAGGAATGCCAAGGTAAGTGAGCCTGCCTGCATCCCTGGGATGGGCTCAGGACCCCCTAGAGAGTGTTGAGGTGGAAGAGGATCCAAGCATTCACAGCACCCAGCCACTGCACTGCAGTGTGTGGAGCACAGGGGCTGTGAGAACAGAGACTCAGGGCTCTGACCTGGACCTGAGTGGAAGCCGACCCCCACACTGAGACCAGACCGGAAGAAGAGGTTCAAACATGAAAGCAGCATTCACCAAGGCTCCAAGGAGGTGTGGCTGGAGCTGAGTGTGTGAGGGGGCCAGGGGACATGGCTGGAGATGAGGACTAAAAGCCTAGTCCCCAGATTCTGTGTGACTAGGAGCTGCTTTCATTTTGGGTAAGGAGGGCGGCACGTGAGGACGCTGGCTGGGACTCCTGGCAGACAGGGGAGCAGGAGTGCCTTTGCAAGAGGGTCCCCAGCAGCTCAGAGAGCCTGCAGTCTTTGCACTTCCCTGGGAAGGCCTGTGTCCGTTGCCCCTGCACAGGGCCCTGGGCAAAGCGGCTTCCCACACAAACCCTTTAATATCCAGCATTTGCACCGAGATACACAGCCTCCGCATACATTTTTATGAATGAGCTCACAGAGGATATGACGCAGCACTTTCCAAGCAGTGCCTTACGATGCATAACGCAGCTGGAGCGCTCACCGCTGCTCTTGAGGCTCTCGTGGCTGGTTCTGGCCGGGGCAGCCCAGCACTCATGCACAGTCCCCTCCTGGAGGCCAGGAAGCTGGGCATCCTCTCATTACCAGAGTCCCCCAGGTCCTAATCCCCTAAAGATCTGGTCTGCAGAGACCAAGGCCATGCAGGTCCCCTCACCTGATATGGGGGAAAGGGGAATAGAGGAGAATAACCAGCTAACTTAATGGGGTGGGGGGAGGGATTCACACCAAGCATTAAACCACCGACATGCCAGGTACCATGTAAGCTCCGGGATCCTGCAGTGAGTAAGGTGTGTGCGCCTGGTGCTGTGGGATCCAGGTGAGGATGCAGGCAGGTTTCGCTGTCGGAGTGTTAGAGCTGGGGCCGAGTAGTGCCAGGCACATTTCACGAGCACTTCCGTATGCTGGCACTGTCCTAAGCCCTTAATCATATGAAGCTCATCATCCCACCCCCAGGCGGTAGAAAGCCTTACCCCATTTTATAATTAAGTAAACTGAGGCTCAGAGAGGTGAAGTGTAATACCAGGGGACCTCATACCTAGTTGCAGCAGAGCTAGAAACAGAATGAAAGTCATTCTGGCCCCAAAGCATGGTTTGCTTCCCACATGCTCCCTTACACGCACGGTGAGGGAATGCAGAAAGCAGAGAGTATTCCAGGGAAAGGGAACCATTTCTCCAGAGAGCAGAGTGGTGAACAAGTCTGGCAGGCTCTGGGAATAATGATAAATCCAGTGTGACTGGAGCGTGGGGCCTGAGGAGGAAGTGGCGGAAGCCGAGGCCAGTTTGTGAAGCCTTGAGTGCCAGGCTGAAGTGTTTGGACACCATCCTGCAGGCAGTGAGCTGCCAGGAGAGGTCTGTAAGCAGAGGGTGGCGAGAGCACTCAGCTGGCTTTCAGGGACCTGACTCAGCAGCGCTGCTCAGAGCAGCCTGGGGGTCGTGAAGGAAGAGGCTGGGGGCAGGGGGCTTCTCTGAGCTTCGTCCCATGGGCAGGTGTTGCAGGTCAGAGGCCCAGCCTGGGGCACCTGCCGGGAACAAGCAGTGGGAGTCTCTGCCGGCCCCAGCAGCTGGGGAGGGAGCCCCAGGTCAGCCGCCAGTGCGTCTCCCAGCGGGGCTCAGCTGCCACTCAATGGGACCTTGCTCAGGATAACATCCACTTTCTACATTTTGCCAGTCTTATAAAGCAGTATCTCATTATTTAATTGTGTAGGAGTTATTTCATTAATTTGTATAATTAATATAAATTATGACCATTCCTGGAATTAAAATTAATATTAGTATAAATAACAGATCAATATAAATTATTTGAATATTAGATCTATTTTTAAAATATTTACTTTACTAATAAGTATGAGCATCTCTTCGTACTTTAGCCACTGGGTTTCCTTATCTGAAAATTGCTTGTTCCTATTTTTTTCTCAGTTTTCCAGCGGTTGCTGGTTTTTCTTATGGCTCCTTGGGAGTTCCTTATATATTCCAGATACTTGCCTGGGTTTAGGTATTGCAACTCTCTCACTTCATCCTCTGCCCACTAACCTTATCCACATGTCCTTCTTTTAACAGAAATCCTTGATTCTGACGTATTGAAATTCACCTTTTTGCCTTATTTTTTATGCTTTTGGGGCTTTAGTTAAGAAATTCTTCCCCACCCCTAAATTACAAAGATATCCTTCTACACTTTCTTTCATTGAAGTTATCTCATTTAATCGGCACAGTTACCCGGTGAAGAGTTTAAACCAGTGCCAGGGGGTGGGGGGCAAAGGTAAATCCTCCATTGATATGATGTGGGGGCAAGGGATGGGGCGTGGCCAGAGCAACCTTGAGTTGATCAAATGAACCCGTCCTTGAAATGGGGGTAGGACTCTGCTGACCATTGAGGCGAAGAAAGATACCCCACGTGGAGACGTCTGTGTGAACAAAGGTTTGGTGGCTGGACTGGTGGGGATCAGCAAACACAGCCAGGCTGGGGCCAGGTGGCAGAGGCCTTGTGAGCCAGGCTGAAACAGCAGGGAACCCTAGTAGCGTTTTAGGCAAGGGAGTGGCATGACCCGGGTCGGGCTTTTGAGCCACTGTGGGGCACCAGGACGCTTTGGGACAATGGCATAAACCGCTTCAGTAGATTGCAGCTGCCTGAGATGCTCTTTCTCTGGCTGCTTAATCCCTAACTTTTAGGAAGTCCCTTAAGAACTCTAGGAGCAGAACTCTGGAGGAGGTATTGGGCTCAGGAAGGGGATTTTATTGGCCTCCTCAGATCATGCCATCTGGACGGCCATCTGACCTCAAGACCAGCCCTTTGCCTCAGGGTGAGGAGACAGATTTGAGGGTCCCCAAGGCCCCCCAAAGTAGTGTCCCCGGGGAGAAAGGAACTCAGGGGTTTGCAGAGGCCTGAGCTAGATCAGCCTCAGACCTGGCCTGGGAGCCCCCACCAATCATGGCTGCAGCAAGGATGCCTTTCCCACTGGGGCCTCAGCATGGTGTCCTTGTCCTCTGAAGAGATGCCCCAGGCCTCCCTGCAGGGCTGGCCCAACTCAGGACTTTTCTGTGTGTTCACAGACATAGACGAGTGTGAGCAGCCAGGGGTGTGCCGCGGGGGACGATGCACCAACACGGAGGGCTCGTACCACTGCCAGTGTGACCAGGGCTACATCATGGTCAGGAAGGGACACTGTCAAGGTGAGAAATGAGATGAGGGAGGGCAGCCAGCCACCCCACCACCTCTTGGTCCCTCCCCGGGGCGCTGTCTGCCCCCACCTCACCTTCCAGCTTGTCTCCGACTGGGCCCGTTGATGCTGAGCTCACTCCTGTGGACAGAGACCTGTCTGGGAATTCATGAGGCCTTCCATCCCCTCAGCGATATTTTGGTGTCCTGTCTGCCCCCCAAAGCAGGGGAGCACAACCAATGTTATATACGTGAGACCCCGGAACATCCCTCTATACAACCCTTCCCCTTGCCTTGAGTTCTACCGCTCTCCTATATGACAGAGGAGAAGTTGGTCTCTCTGGGAGGAGCTTGGGGTGCAGCCCTGGCCTACTTGCTAAAGCTTGTTAGGCTATGAGCTCCTCGGGGCTGGACCCTATCCTTAGATGACTCATGTGCAGACACCTGAGAAATGTCCTGCATTGGACAAATGCTAGCAAATGCTAGCTGAATGAGTAAATGAGTAAAGAATGAATGCGCGAGCCCCGATCGTTGCTCCATTTCCCAGGCCCTGCCAAAAGGCGGCCGTGACATTGCCAAGTGGTCTCCTCACAGGCTGGCTGGAGGCCGCTATCATGCCAGCTCCTGGCAGCTCTGCGGCCACCCCCTCCTTGCCAGGCTGGGGTGTCAAATGCTTGCAAGAGGCCTGCGTTATGTGCTAAGACTGGCCGAGATAGGAATGAAGGGGGGTAAAGCAAGGCTCTCTCTGGAAAGAAATCCTGCCCTTGACCCAAGTTTAGGACTAGCCGCCTGCCAGCCTCCAGGTTCTTCCAGGCTGGGACTTGCCCTGGTTTCACAGGGTCCTGGAGGTAAATACCTTACGAAGGGACAGTGCCCCTTTCCAATGCCATTACAAAGGAAGCCAAGTCTGGAGTCCTAGAAGGTCTTAGCAAAGGGGAGAGGTGGCTGGGGGTGGAGGACAGACAGCTCTCTATCTGCATTCCCCGGGGGTCACCTTCTCCTCTCAATGCCTCCCTCTTGGAGTTCTCCCTTTAATACCCTGGCCTACGCACAATCAAAGCCAAAATGCACTCTCTTTGTCCTCATGGCATGATGGAGTCAGAAAGCCCGGCATTTTCCAGGAGAATGGAGAGTGAGGGAGTTAGCTTTTGCTGGGTGTATTCTACGTGCCAGGAGCTGTGCGAGGACTTGATAGATTACCTCGTTTAAGCATGACAACATGACAAATTTGACATTAGACTTTATTTAAAAAAAAAAAAAAAGCAAAACTAAAGGAGATGAACCAAGAAAATACCAGGACATTAAAAAGACCAGATTTATACTAACCAGTCCATGTTACAGGCACAGGCTCTGGTAGAGACGGGCCTGGGATTGGCTCTTGTCTTAACATCTGAAAATGCAAACCGTAATGCCCATCTCAGAGGCCCTTGTGAGGACCAAATAAGCCAATACATATGACAAGACCTGCAGTGCACAGGGGGTGGCATTTCTATGTGAGGGCCCCATTCTTTTTTACCTCTAGACTCCCCCCATGCTCCAGTCCATGACTCTGGATCGTCCCCTTCCCTCCCGGAGGAAAAGTTCCAGACGCGCCCCTCGGCTGGGAGGTCAGGGTGGGTTTCTGGCCCCGGGCAGACACTCAGGCTGCTGAAAGACAGCCTGGTGTAGCCTGCAAACTCCTCCAAGGTTTCCATCAGGAACCACAAACCCAGCCATCACCCCGGGAGCCTGGTCAATTTCCTCTCCCTCTTTCTTCTCGCTCCAACTGAGAAACCACTCTCTCCATTTCAACTCAAAGTCTCTGGTGGAAGGCCCAAATGTTCTGGACAGTGGCCCATCCAAAGTCTCAGTGGCATTTCTGTCATACCAAGACTCTGGGTTCCCATGGAAAGGGGTTAGACCCCTTGCAGACTGCCAGGCCTTTCCTGTGCCCCAACCACATCCAAATTCTCCCGAGCTTCTGGCCCCGGAGCGCCCTCCCACTCCCACCCCGTGCTCTCACAAGGAGCCGAAATGGGGACCCTTACATTTCCCCATGCAAAGGCTCCAGGATCTTCCCAGGGTGCAGAGCTGGTTGGCAAGCTGGCTCCGGGGCGCCTGTTTCCCTGGGTCTCCTGGGGTCTCTTCAGCAACCTCACAGCAAGAGGGTATGAAGTTTTAGTCCCATGGCCTCATTCTTTGGTGAGCAACATATGTTGAGGGCCACCTGTGTCCCAGCCACGGGCTAGGAAAATACAGCGATAAGTAAGACAGATAGCTCCTGCCCCCGGTTACCAAGCTATTAGAACCTACCAAAATATATGGTAATCTTAGATTAAAATTCAAATCCTATGGGATGTCTGGGTGGCTCAGTCGTTAAGCGTCTGCCTTCAGCTCAGGTCATGATCCCAGGGTCCTGGGATCGAGTCCCGCATCGGGCTCCCTGCTCGGCGGG